GAACGCTGACCAGGAAGCGCTGATTCGGCAAGGACGGCCGAGAAGAGCAGGAGATAAAAAGAAAAGATGCGAAGCAGATGGGGGTCAATTCGAGAAGTCAAAAGCGCGTCGCGTTACCTGGTCTGTAACGTAATTATACTAAGATTAAAATAGTGAAAAGGTGACAACGAATCTAACTAAGTATTCACAAGAGAGATACTAGTTTATTAATAAAAACGATTATAAAAAGTTATTTGGTGTCGTGATTATCCGCCTATTGTCGCCTTCGCTGGATCTCGAATCCAATACCGTGTTACGCGGTATAACAGTAGCTTAAGAACTAACGGAGAACAGTAAACGAAAAAGCGCTGTAAAATTGGAAGTTTGGGAAATAAGGAGCTCACACTTGACCAAGAATGTGGACACGAGTCAAGTGGTAGAACTATAATATTTCACACATTTTCACTCATTTAAATGTGTTACAAATCAAATTCGCTTATTTTCTTCTCATAAAGTTCTGAGAACTTTTTCAGAATTGTTTAATACCGTATTTCCTCATGTTGATAAAAACAAGAAAATGCAGTACTAAAAGTTGATAAAGAATTCTGAAAAAATTCTCAAAACTTTACACGAGAAGAAAATAAATAATTTTTATCTCTTGCAGTTTTTCTGTAAAGTTGATAGTATTTGAGTAAAAAAATTATTCAGAACCAATATTTTGCAATTTTTAGTAATTATTAGGTGTATAACTTTGCTTTCGCCGTTTTCCTATAGATGGCTTTAGCGGTAAGTGGTGGTCGAAATAAATAGATTATAGACGTCATATAATAAACTTGGGCATCTGTCAACATAACCCCATAAAAGCATTAGTCGATTTGTGTCTGCATCATAAAGTTATTCTCGATTGAAAATGTCAGTTTACAAGCCAAATTCTCGTCATTTGTGGGAGGTTTTGATTTTTTGCTTCAATATGGAGAAATCTGCGACTGAGGCTCATCGAATGCTCTTAAATACTTATGGTGAGGCCGCTATTAATGAAAGAACGTGTCGTGAGTGGTTTCAACGCTTCAAGAACGGTGATTTTGACGTCGAGGACCGACGGTGGAACAGAGAAAGTTTTCGAAGATGCAGAAATGGAGGCATTACTTGATCAAAATCAAGAAGAATTGGCACGATCATTGGGATTGAATCAACAAGCCATTTCAAAACGCCTCAAAGCCATGGGAATGATTCAGAAGCAAGGAAATTAGGTGCCGTACGAGTTGAAACCGGGAGATGTTGAACGGCGTTTGTTTGCTTGTGAACAGCTGCTTGAAAGGCAAAGACGGAAGGGATTTCTGCATCGCATTGTGACTGAGGACGAAAAATGGGTTCATTACGATAACCCCAAGCGCAGAAAATCATGTGGAGTTCCCGGCCATGCTTCCACGTCGACGGCCAAACCGAATATTCACAGCTCCAAGGTCATGCTCTGTATTTGATGGGACCAGCTCGGCGTAGTGTATTATGAGCTGTTAAAACTGACTGAAACAATCACAGGCGATCGAACGCAATTGATGCGTTTGAGCTAAGCATTGAAGGACAAACGGCCGCAATACAACGAGAGACACGATAAAGTGATTTTGCAGCATGACAATGTTCGACCCCATGTTGCGAAAGTGGTCAAGACATACTTGGAAACGTTGAAATGGGAAGTCCTACCCCACCCACCGTATTCTCCAGACGCTGCTCCCTCTGACTATCGCTTGTTTTGATCAATGGCACACGGCCTAGCTGACTAGCACTTCCGGTCTTATGAAGAAGTGAAAAATTGGATCGATTCGTGGATCGCCTCAAAAGATGACCTGTTTTTTCGACACGGGATTCGTACGCTGCCCGAAAGATGGGAGAAAGTAGTGGCCAGTGATGGACAACCACCAATCACAGCGACCGGTGCTTAGGAGCTTTGTAGTCTCAAGCGCTGTGAGTGGCTCCTGTCCAATTGAGCCGTGTCCAACTGGGTGCCACCCATCACACATGTGTCTGTTTTCTGTGGCTGTTGATTAGGTTAGGAAATCCTTCACATCGATGACATAGAGGAACACGTAAGTGATTTTCTGCTTCTACATATACAAATTAAACTTGCTCGACACGTTTTTGCACGAAATGAACGAATCTGGCAAAAGAAAAATGTATTGCTTTATGGGGTGATCCCGATTGACCACAGCTCGATTGGACACCACCAATCACAGCGACCGGTGCTTAGGAGCTTTGTAGTCTCAAGCGCTGTGAGTGGCTCCCGG